AAAAACAAAAATGGATGTCAGAAGAGACTCTGAAACTTGCCCTTGAGTGGCGAGTAGCTAAAGCAAATGGAAGAAATGACAAGATAAAAGAACTGAAGAGATTTCAAAGAGCAGCTCGAGAGAAGACAAAGTCAGTAATTATGATGAAATATGCAAAGACCTGGGGAGCTCTGGTAGCATAGTGCCTAAGGCACTTGACTGCTAACCAGAAGGCTGGAGGTTCAAAACCACCAGCCACTCCTTGGAAAGAAGGTTGGGCAATCTACTTCTGTAGAGATACTGCCTCGGAAACCCACAGAGGGGTCGCTATGAGTTGGGTCTGACTCAATGGCACATAACAACAACATCATGCAAAGACCTGGAGTTAAAAAAACCAAAAGGAAGAACGTTTGGCATTTCTCAAGCTGAAAGAACTGAAAAAAAAATTCAAGCCTTGAGTTGTAGTATTGAAAGATTCTATGGGCAAAATATTGAATGATGCAGGAAGCATCAAAAGAAGATGGAAGGAATACACAGTCACTGTACCAAAAACAATTGGTCGATGTTCATCATTTCGGAGGTGGCATATGATCAAGAACCAATGGTACTAAAGGAGGAAGTCAAAGCTGCACTGAAGGAACTGGTGAAGAAGGCTCCAGGAATTGACAGAATATCCACTGAGATATTTCAACAAACAGATGCTGCAGGCACTCATTGTCTATGCCAAGAAATTTGGAAGACAGATACCTGACCAACTGACTGGAAGAGATCCCTATCTGTACCCATTCCAAAGAAAGGTGATCCACAGATTGTGGAAATTATTGAGCAATATCATTAATATCACATGCAAGTAAAATCTTGCTGAAGATAATTCTAAAATAGCTGCAGCAGTATACTGACAGGGAACTTCCAGAAATACAAGCTGGATTCAGAAGAAGATGTGGAACAAAGGATATCATTGCTACTGTCAAATGGATCTTGGCCGAAAGCAAAGAGTACCAGAAAGATATTTAGTTGTGTTTTGACTATGCAGAGGCATTCTATTGTGTGCATGATAACAAATTGCAGATAACATTGAGAAGAATGGGAATTCCAGAACACTTAGTTGTGCTCATGAGGAACCTGTACACAGAACAGGAGTTTGTCGTCTGAACAGAACAAGGGTATACTGCATGGTTTTAAATCAGGAGTGCATCAGGGTTGAATCCTTTCAACATACTTATTCAATATGTATGCTGAGCAAATAATCCAAGAAACTGGACTATATGAACAAGAGCATGGCATTAGGATTGGAGGATGACTCATTAACAATCTGCGATATGCAGATGACACAACTTTGCTTGCTGAAAGTGAGGATAACTTGAAGCACTTACTGATGAAGATTGAAAACTATAGTTTGCAGTATGGATTACACCTCAACATAAAGAAAATGAAAATCCTCACAACTGGACCAATAAGCAGCATCACGATAAATGGAGAAAAGATAAAAGTTGTCAAGGATTTCATATTACCTGGTTCCACAATCAACACCAATGGAAGCAACAGTTAAGATATCAGACAATATATTGCCCTGGGCAAATATGCTGCAAAAGACCTCTTTCAAGTGCTGAAGAGCAAAGATGCCTCTTTGAAGACTAAGGTGCACCCAACCCAAGCCATGGTATTTTCAAGCGCCTCATTTGCATGTGAGAACTGGACAATGAATAAGGAAGAGTGAGGAAGAGTTGGTGCTTTTGAGTTGTGGTGTTGGAGAAGAATGCTAAGAGTACCATGGACTGCTAAAAGGACTAACAAATCCGTCCTGGAAGAAGTGCAGCCGGAATGCTCCTTGGAAGCAAGAATGGCTAGACTTTGTCTCACCTACTGTGGTCATGTTGTCAGAAGGAACCATTCCCTGGAGAAGGGTATCATGCTTGGTAAAGTGGAGGGTCAATGAAAAAGGAGAGGGCCCTGAACGAGATAGACTGACACAGTGGCTGCAGGGATGGAGTCAGGTATAGCAAGGATTGTGAGGTGGCACAAGACCGGGCAGTCTTTCACTGTCCAGTTGGAGCTAATTCGACAGCACCTAACAACTTAAAATATTACACGGTTCTAATAGCAAAATTGTACTATAAAAGCAGCAGTCTACATGTAGTAAAAGATAAAAACATACTCCAAATAGTATATTTAAGACTATAGAAATCCTACAACTGTTCAAAGACAGCTTCCTAATGTATGAATGACATTTCTTCGTAAAGTTTGTTTCCAAGTCAGCTATTTGGACTTCCTACTAAAATAAGCTGTAAAAGGCTGTGTTTCCAGAATGACTCACAAAAGCTTAGGGCAGTATATGTGTCAGCACTTGAACTTGGAAATCAGACACCAGGTTTGAGCTCAGGGATCCTCCCCGACTTCCTTATATGCCCTTGACCAAATTACTAAAAATCCATTATGCCTCCGTTTTCTCGTATCTGGGAGATACAAGATCCTAACATCCATTTTTTTTTTTAGGGAGGGAGCAAGGGAGATGAGAAGGAAATGAGATGATCTTGAGCACTCAGTACAGAAATTAACTGAATAAAGATAAGCTTTTATTCTGTAACACATATAAACTATGGTAGTATAGACTCCAATCATTGTTTCTACATGAAAACTCTCCAGCATCTGTACTGAACATTTGTAAGTTTCACAATGAAACACAGCTGTCATAAAACTCTTACAACAGTGTACTGAAGAATTTTTCATTCCGTAATATTTAGCTGCACATTTTTAGACAAAATTTTCTTAACAAAATTTCTTGTTACCCATTTATTATAAAACCTTTAGTAAAATGCATACATTCTGAGTTTTTATTTCAAGTTTAAGAACACTGTTTAGAGTGAAGGAGCTCTGGTGGTGGTGTGCCTAAGGCATGTGAGTGCTAACCAGAAGGTTGACGGTTCAAACCCACCAGCTGCTCCACAGAAGGAAGACTGGGCAATCTACTTCCATAGATATTTACCACCTCGGAAACCCAAAGGTGGTCGCTATGAGTTGGAATTGACTCGATTGCAGGGAGTTTGGTTTTGGTTTTGGTTTGGCTGGAATGAGCAACAAACTAAAACCATGTTTTAAAAAGTCTAATTACTGTTTTTTAATCAGTTAGCTTATGACTTTGAAAATGACAAATGAAATAAGACCACTACCTTATCTGTCTGTCCTGAGTGAAGGTGGTGACCGCAGCACTCTGGGCACTGTTTTGTGGCATACTAGATGGAATCTGGACCATGCTTCCTGTGGCTGGCTGAGAAATCACCATAGTGTTATACAGTGGGGCTGTGAGAGTGCTCTGTGTCTGACTGGGAAGTGATGTTTGTTGATTGTGCCCACTCAGTACATTTTGTTGACTCTGCTGGAAAAGAAAAGATTTTATATCAATTGACGAAAATTTACCCAGAAAGTATCACTTCTTCTATTCACTTTTCTAACAACAGTTGGCCTGACAGAGAACGAAGTGGCAAGATATATTATTCTAGAAGAAATCTAACTACAAAGGAATGACTTGTGGTTACTGAGAAGGAAACAGTCTTGAATACGTTGCTGGAAGACAATCTATGACTCTTAGAAAAAGAGGAAAATATTAATGGGGAAATATTCGTGAAAATTTTGTTGCATGTTTGGAGTGGCAGGTTATTAGACATTTTTATGTATTTCATGTAAAGCCTTGGGACTTGTAGTCACAGATGTGTATTAATTATCAAAATAATCAGGAGTATTTGCTAAACCATCACTGGCCCAATATTCTAACATGTTTCCTCGTCAGCTTCTTTGCAAGGCAAACCTTTTTAACATATAAAAGTAGTCTATAAATTATAAGAAACTGGTATAATTGAGACTAGACCTGTTAAACAAATTGCAACCTTTTTTAAACATAAAAATATTGAAAGCATTTGCCATTCAACATTAACGTAATTTTTCACAAATTATTTTGACAATTATTCTCAATATTGTACTTTCTAATTACTATTAAAATGTAAAATATAGTATTTTTCAAGCTAGAGCTTTGTTTTTATTTTAGCAATGGTGTACATTTCAATCACTGAATTCTTCACAGCCCATTACCTGTGTAGATGGACTCTGTAAAGTCTGCTGTTGTATCATGTGCTGACTCGTACCAATATGTCCAGTGTTCACTCCACTTTGAATCTGGTTAGTAGGAACAACCTGGCTTTGCATATTTATAGGTGTGAGTTGTTGGATGTTAGATGAATTTCCAGAAGAAAGTTGAACAGAACCAAAATTCAATCCAGGGGTGGACTGTTGTAAAAACATCTTTTAAAACAAAGATTACATTAAAATGAGCTTTGTAGATTAATTATTGAGTAAAACGTGAAATTCATTCTTCTAGTGATTCTTAACCTTATTGTGTTTCAAACTATTAGAAAAAGTTTTTTAAATTTCAAAATCTCTGTTTGAGCATTTTACATTTTGGGGACTGTTTGTTGTATCAGCTAGCACTACCCTTACTAGCATTACCCCAGGATGAACATAAGCTCATGCTGTGGCTCTACCACTTACTGGAAGGTCTTACTCAAAAGGCCTGTGGACTGACAGCATCTGTAATACCTATCATTTACACTTTATGGTTTTAGGTAGAAGTAGTTTTCATCTACCAAAGTCCTAATCTCCTCTGATAAGATAATCAAGATGAAACTTTAGACTTGCCTGGTTAGCTGACCTAATAATACGAATTTCAATCATATCTACTATGTCCTGGTATTTTATTAAAACTACTACTGATGAAAATTTTACACATTCTAATCTAAATGTACCTAAAAAAGTTTATGTAAAACAATCTTTTATTTTGGATTTCCATTTATTAAAAACAACTGTTAAAAGATGATTCCATTAAGCTGGAGAAACAAGGATACTGATGGGAACACTCTTGTAAGTGAATTACTATAAAGACTGTAAAGCAATCACACTGAATGTATTAAAATTTATTGAATTGTCAAATATGAAAGGTCAATTTTCCTAAGAAACCAAAATATGGATATGAGATTGTAATTGTTTTTTATAGAAATGTAGGAATCACTTTACCTGCAGTCCCTGACCATGAACCATCTGAAGCTGTTCTTGAATTTTTCTTAGTTCTTCTTGTTGCCGATGAATATTTGCCTCTATCATGCGTGTTCGTTGCTCCAACTGGTCTTTCAGATGCTGCATGGCTCCTAATTGAGCTGAAAACTGAAACTGACATACCATGTGTGGAAAAAGTATAGCATATTTTAGAACTCCTCATAACTGTACAGTGTGGGAAGCAAGCAATATATCATGAGTTAAGAATGTTATGCCAATTATCAGTGTATTGTTTCTCAGCTGGATTCTCAAATCTAATCATCTTCGTTCTGCTTTTATGATGCTGGAGCTGGATCCTATAAATATTTCTTCTTGCCAGCGGGCATAAATTTAACCATCTCAGTAGAGGGCACTTGGGGGATCTACAAGAGGAAGAGACTTTCCTTCCTTGTTCTGGTACTTTTCCTTCTTGTTCTTATGGCATGGCTGCCAGTGGCAGTTTTCCCAGCAAGTGTCATCAGCACCCCAGCAGGTGACTTTCCAGCAAGTCTCACTGGCATCCTAGTCCTACTGCTCTCCATTGGCTTCCTAGAAAGTTTTGCCAGCACTCCAGCAGGTGGTTTCTTGTTCTGCAGCCCCTGCCTGTGGTACCTCAGTGAACTTCTGTCATTTGGGCAGGAAGGGGTGGGTAAGTAAGCTTTGGAGGTAGGAGAATTTTCTGTTTATTCCTTCCTTGGGTACTCTCTGTCTTATAGTTTGTGGCTGCAATCTATATGCATCATTCCTGTATTCTTTAGAGTTCTCTTTACTCTTCTTAGTAGTTAATTCTTATTTACCAGTTAATAATTTTTTACATTAGCTCTGGTGGTATAATGCCTAAGGCACTTGACTGCTAACCAGAAGGTTGGCAGTTCAAACCCACCAGCCACTCCTTGGAAGGAAGAGTGGGCAATCTACTTCTGTAGAGATACCACCTCAGAAACCCAAGGAGGGGTCGCTATGAGTTGAAAATGACTCGACAGCAGTGAGTTTGGTTTTTGGTTTTCTGTTCAAATTTCTAGTGTAGCTTCTGGCTTTTGACCCTGAGTGCATCTTGACTGATACAAGTATACCTAGAGTTAGAGAACATAAACTCATGTTGTGGCTCTGCCACTTACTGGGACAAGCTACTTAACTTCTCTAAGCCTCAGTTTATCTGTGAATAAACCAAAGCCAAATCCACTGCTATCAAGTTGATTCTGACTCATAGCTACCCCTCCATTGGGTTTCCAAAGCTGTAAATCTTTATGGAAGTAGCCTGCCTCATCTTCCTCCCACACAGCACCTGGTGGGTTTGAACTACTGACCTTGTGGTTAGCAACCAACTGTCTTACCCACTAGGCTACCAGAGCTCCTCACCTGTAAAATGAAGCTAATAAAAGCACCAACTCCACGGGGTTATTGTGAGGTATTACATTTATTAATGTATTAGGATGAACCATTTCAAATTGCTAGTAATTGACATTTTTTACCTAGATTAACAGCAGTTTCATACAGTTCAAATGAATATATAAAACCCCTAAAGAGCTCTAGTAGTGTAGTGCCCAAGGCATTTGACTGCTAACCAGAAGACTGGCAGTTCAAACCTACCAGCCACTCCCCAGAAGGAAGGCTGGGCGATCCATTCCATAGTGATACTGCCTCGGAAACCCAAGGAGGGGTCGCTGAGTCGAGGGCAGTGAGTTTGATTTTGGTTTGAGTACAATGCCTGGCACATAAGAGCTCAAAAAAAGTTTGTCATTATTTTATTATTCTTCATTAAAATTGCAGTGAAAACTATACCTTATCATATAAAGCACACAAAATCTACCCTAATTACCTGCTTTCTCACTCTCTATCTGCTACTTTATGTGGTGATAATGGGTCACAGATGGTGGATATGGAGGAATAAAAAAACAGCTTCTCCAGTAGCTACATTTCTACTCTTTAACAAAGGGAGAAGCAGCCAGACCTCCAGTTACAGTTATTCCTCATATCAAATTTTAACATTCCCAGAATATCCTCTACATGTATATCAGTAGAAGTGCCCAGAGTGATAAAACAGAGATAACCAACCATAATATTTTCACCTAAAACTGTTCTCAGACAAATACAGAATAAAGATTTTAAGGACTAAGCAATTATGAATGAATAAATAAATGCATAAATGAATGAATAATAACAAAGTTATTTTACTTCCAGCGTTTTTATTATTACTTATTTTTCTTTGTTTTATCTGAGTCATAATCAGCTCCTATTTTTACTGGTTGTACACTTTTGATGATTCATGTCTTCAATCTATACAGGCTCACTTAACACATTTCCATAAATGGTCAACCATAAGTACACAGGACATAGTATAAGAGGACCAGAGTTTTGCCTTAGTGGAAATCTGTCTTAATCTTAAAATAGTATCCTATGATGAGTTCATTTAAAAGTGAGAAATGCCTCCCAAAATCTTTTTTACTTCGTCTCCAAAAGTTTGTACTGAGGACAGTGAGTATTACTTTTGAAGGCATACAAATCTGGCTTCTGGAGTTGACAATAACTATACTATATCATATATTAGACTATACTACAAGTTTAAGAAAAGATTACATATTTAACACCTCAGTTCTCTTATGCCTTTATTTATATCAGTAAAAATGTTATCTTTATGTTACATAAATGTATTTTTATTATAACTAAAGTTAATTGCACTTTTGGATAAAAATGATACTGTCATAGTTTAAAAGATACAAAATGATTTCTATTAAATACAAATTAGAGAAGAGAAACAAAAAAAGCAGCAGGATAAGTGGAAAAGAAGTCACAGAATTAAGAGGCAAAGCAGTTGGCCTTCCCTCTGGACAAGATGAGATTTGAATACTTCCTAACATTTTTGACACAGTAGCCATTATTTATTTTGCTTTAAAATGAAATATGAAACTATTCCTTTAAAATGTTAAGAAATACTCAGTATTCAGAGATTAATGAACTAATAATATTGAAAGTATGTGTATCTCTAAATATTTATATAAAAATTCTGTTAACACTTCAGAATAAACAGGATTTGAGGACTCAATGTTATAAAAACTTGTGAACGAATACAACATTTAATAAAGCAGTGCTGTTAAAGATCTTACATGACATGTAATACGTTGTTAGTAATCAAGATTATGACGTTTAGGTGACTTATTATCAGTGCATTTGTACAAGTGTCATATTATATAACAGTTTAAATTATGTATGTATAATTTAAACAATAACCATATAATGTTATTTTAGAAAGACAGTATTTTTACTCACTGTTAACTATTATTATATAAAATCAGGATACTGCTAAGTCAAGGTATATTTAATGCCAGATAAGGCAATCAGAAAATTTTATATTACCTTTACTGCTATTCAGCAGTATTTTTATGTATTTGAGGCATTAAGTGGATTCAGATTTACAAACTGGAAAACTATGATCAAAAATGACTTATGTCACTTTTGTAGCATTTCTGATTTTTATATTTAGGCCTCCTTTAGGACTCAGGCCACATGACAATTTTTCTGAAAAGTTTTCTTTTACTTCCTCCAACAACAAGTGAGGGGCTATCTCATGTGTTTACATCTCAGCCTATATACCTCTATCATGCACTATATACGTTATGTCATTCTTTCTAGATATAATAATCTGTTTAAGTACAGATATTAAAATCTTATTCATCTTTGTATTGTCAACACCTATAATATCTGACACATACAAGGAACTCAATAAAAGTCCTACATATGAACAAATGAATGAATATATGACTAAAGTTACTCAATTCTTTCAATATCCAAAGGAAGAACAAAATGAAGCTGTATTTTATCTTCAGTATCATTAGGTCTACAGCATTTCTCAATAGGGAGTTGTTGTGGTAGATCAAGCAGGACAATTTTTTGTTGTACATTTAGCATCTCCAGTCCCTGCCAGTGTCACTCCATAATCATTACAACAACCACAAATGTCCCCAAATAGGCTAAATGCCCCCCATTGAGACTCAACACTTCTAAAACCATATTATAAAGAAATCTATATTAGCTTAAAAGCAATTTATCATTTTAAAATACTCAACTCAAACAAACAAACAGTCAAAAAATACCTGGGACATGCCTTGTGGAATTGGTAAATTTGCAGCTTGAGACATCACTGGCTGTGTTAATGACTGACCAACAGACTGGGAATTTATGGACTGGAAACAAAATAAATAACACTGGAATGATGATTGTTCCCATATGTGTGCACTTCTACCAGAAACATCAACACGGTACTTTTATCACTGAGCTTTTAAGTATAGGTATGTCTCTCCATCTATACTGGAAAGGCCTATTTCTCATTTATATTTTTAATCTTCCAAGGCACTTACCACAGTACCTTACATGGGCTCCTCAATATAAGTGGGCTGAACTTAATTGAATGTGATTGGTATTTGAATTTACATATAAAATTCCTCTAAATTATTAGCTTTTCACAGTTGGATTTTTTTTTTTTAACCTGAAAAATAATTAAAAGGACTGATATCTATGACAGCTATTTCACACAAAAAACAAGATCATGATTAAATGTTGTATATTAACAACCAACCATTTTGATCTTTATAGAAAGGAAAAATGGATAAATGGGATTCTGTAGATTTTTTCCCCACTATTAGTAAATCTTTAATGAGAAGAACGTTAACTGAAGAGTTACCTGACTACTAAACGATGACCTCCGCTGTGCCATCTTCTCGTGACCTGGTAAATGCTGTCTGGGAGGAGTGCTCGTATCCGTCTGGATCTTTGTTGGTGTCGCTGGGGTCAACAAAAACAGAACCACCATGAAGTACTTTTAAAATACAGTTTTGAAAGATTAATTCCAAAATGCACTTCAATGAATAAAAAAATGGTTATTTTTCTAAATCATTCAATAAAAGTGAATTCCACTATAAGATGATTCCTTTTAATTTATAATTATTTATAATATAAATTATATTATCATTTATATAATACAAATTGTTATTTAGTATATGTAAAAATATATTATTGTGGTGAAAATATACACAAGACACTCTCCAATTCAACAATTTCTACATTTATCAGTGCTATTAATTACATTCTTCATTTTCTGTCTTTGGTAAGGGCAAAGAAAATACATGAAACGGGAAAACTTTAAACATAAAAACGACTGCTAATTTAATGACAATTATGAAAGTTTTCATAAAGACAACACAGTAAAACTTTCAAAAAAGCAAACATATTTAAAAGAATATTCATTGGCTTTATCAGTAAAAAAGGAATAAACAGTTTGTCTTTCATTTTGAGGGATAATCAAAAACAAATTAACAATACCAACATTATTGTTGGATGCCGGCAAGTCTATTCCAATTCAAAGTGACCCTATATGACAGAGCAGAACTGCCCCACAGAATTTCCTAAGTGGTAATCTTTTTTTTTTTTCCACTTTGATTGTGGTGAAAACATCCACACCAAGACATTCACCAACATAATAACTTCCACGTTTATAGCTCAGGGACACTGATGATATTTTTCATGTTGTGCCACCATTTTATTCCTATTCTTTTCTAAAATATCCCACTACCATTAGCATAAACTCAATGCCTAGGCTGTAATTTTTATGGGAACAGATCACCAAATCTCCCATGGAGTTGCTCATGGGTTCAAACCATCAACTTCTGGTTAGCAGCACTTAACCACTGCACCGTAAGGGCTTCTTCAAAATCATCCTAACAGCTGGCAGCAATAGGATTTGAACCCATGATCCCAAAGAGACTAGAGACTTAACCCAGGACCTGGGGACAACTCAGCCACACTACCAATATTACTATTTACATATTTTATAGCACACTTGATAAAACTTAATTCTTTGCTAAATGTCAGCACTGTGCCTCCTAACTACCTGAAAGGTTAATATATTTCAGAAATATAAACATTTGCAATTTTAAGGAAGCATTTGATAAAAAACGCTGCTATCAGTTAACACAAACAATTCAGAAGCACTCTCTTTAAAGGAAGTCTGCTTTCAAGTTAGGATACTCACAGGAAGGGTCTGAGACTGCTGTGTGAGATGATTTTCTTGAGCTCCTGGAGGAAGCAGAAGGGGTTGGGCTGTGATCAAACCTTTCCAAAGCTTCCTTGAGACTGACTGTGTTTATACGATTATCAGACCCAGAATCTTGGCTCTAAGGAAACAGAGTAAAATGTTTACTTGTTCAGTTCAGAGATTTCCATATTAGCAATACTGCTTTTACAAAACAGTGCAAAGGTACCTGTGCATATGCTATGTAAGAATTGAAAATTTATTTTTAATAGCCAGAAAGTTTTGCCTTCTTTCTCTACTTGAAGAAACAACAAAATAAAGATTAAGCTTTAGTTTAGTACAAGGTGCACTGCTCATCTTTGGAACTTCAGTGCTGACTGCTCATAATCTTCCCCTTTACTCCCAACTCCAAGCTTTCTCCAAAATTTCAATATTCATATGGACCACTCATCCAACATTCTCTCTTGGCCTCTTAGCTTTGTTTTTTCTTTGAACCCCTCCTCGCCAATAATTTTTCTTCTATTTGACCTCAGTCATTGAACCTGCACACCTTTTTCTCATCATCAGATACTGTAACACTTTCAAAAGCACAAATTAAAATTCCACTTTAAACTATGAGGTCCCCATGAATTTTAAGTGATTTGATGGCAACAGGTTGGTGGTTTTTTTTTTGTTTTTAAAACCATACTTTCCTATCCTTCTAGCTCACTTTCTTAAGTGTCTTGTTGTTGTTGTTATTACATGCCGCCGAGGCAGACCTGACTCCCAGCGACCCCTCCTTGGGTTTCCAAGGCAGTATCACTACGGAAGTAGATTGCCCAACCTTCCTTCCATGGAAGTATCTTCTTAGAAATAGTTTTGTTGCTGTTGTTAGGTAATGTTGAGTTGATTCTGACTCATGGTGACCCAATGTACAACAGAACAAAACAATGCTCAAAATTGTTTCTATGTTTGAACTACTGTTGCAGCCATTGGGTCAATCCATCTTATTGAGGAGCTTCCTCTTTTTTGCTGGTCCACGACCAAACATTATGTCCTTCTCCAGGGATTGATCTTTCCTAACAACATGCCCAAAGTATGTAACTTGAAGTCTCACCATCCTTGTTTCTAAGGAGTATTCTGGCTGCACTTCTTCCAAGACAGATGTATTCATTAACGGACACTCAAAACAGCAGCAACACTTAAGTTCTGGTGGGCTCACTTTTCCACTTTTCACAGTAACTCTATACCTATTCCACTTTTCTTAAACCTTTGGATCCATCTCTCTCTGGCGACACACTTACGTTATGCTTGCAGTTAACACTTTCCCACCACCAAATATATTAACCTGCTTTCTAAAATAGCAGGTATACAAATATATTCTGATTCACTGCCATCAAGTTGATTCTAACTCACAGTGACCCCAAATGGGTTTCCAACGGTGTAAATCTTTACCAAAGCAGACTGTCTCATCTCTCTTCCCTGGAGCAGCAGTGGGTTTGAACCACTGACCTCCTGGGTAGCAGCCAAATGCCTTAAACCACTATACCACCAGAGCTCCTTACTAATATATTGTTGTTGTTGTTGTTTTGCCGTTGAGTCGGCCCCGACTCATAGCGACCCCTCCTTGGGTTTCCAAGGCAGCATCACTACGGAAGTAGGATTGCCCAACCTTCCTTCCGAGGAGTGGCTGGTGGGTTTGAACCGCCAGCCTTCTGGTGAGCAGTCAAGTGCCTTAGGCACTATGCTACCAGAGCTCCTACTAATATATTAGTATATACTAATATAGTCATCTTTTCTTTCCTCACTATTATAATAGAGGAAATGTTCTATATTAAAAGTCTTGTACATGCAGCAATGAGTAAGAAAGAAATAATATACCTGCTCTTTGAGGGAAGCTTACATAAAAGGGAGAATGGTAATGCAGGCATAAAAAAGCCCACTGCTGTCGAGGTGATTCTGATGCACAGCAACCCTACAGGACAGAGAAGAACTGTCCCATAGGGTTTCCAAGGCTGTAATCTCTATGGAAGCAGACTGCCACATCTTTGTACTGTGGAGTGGCTGGTGGGTTCGCACTGCCGACCTTTCAGTCAGCAGCTGACTGCTTAACCACTGTGTACCATGGCTCCTTAATCTGTATGCACACATATGTGCTTATACATCTGTACACCTACACATAAATGAACAATATAATTTCAAAGTTACTTATGCTGTGAAGGGGGGAAAAGGTGATGTGGCAAAATGCTTTATCTCCTGCATCCTAATTGCCTTTCAGCTCTTCATATCCTCTATTTTATTTCCATCTCCCATTCCTTTCCAGCTCCTGAAATCCTTCAGCCTGCTTTGGTGTCCATAATGAGCAAAATCCTCTGTATTCTCAACCTCCTCTCAATATTCATTCACAGGCCTGATGTATTTAATTAAAATCCAGATCTCCCCTGAAGGTACCATTTTTCTCATTGGTCTCTAAAGTGTTGGCTCTTTTCTCTCACACAAACCTACAGGTGGGATAGAAGTCCTCTGAATTTTGTTTCTGGACTATTTCTCCTTCCTTTTTCCTTCCCCCAAACTCACAGCTCTGAATCTCAAATCTCTGTATTATGTAACTCATGGTCTCTACTGCTGCAGTCATTTATGTACTCTTGGTCATTCCCCACTAAGAATTTGAATTAAAATTCTAGCTCCTGGTTTAGGATTACTCTCACTAATTCTTAATTCTAAGGTTATAATATTCACATTATAAGCCATGTCTCTCCCAAGCGGTGGGAAAGAGGCAGTGATCTATGTAAGGGGAGGGTGAGGAGGGTGGAAAGGTTTTGAACAGCTAAGGGAGACAAACTTGTCCATCAGTATGTCCTACTGTGGTGGTGTGTTGCTGTGAGGCTTGAGGCTGTGTCACCAGTGTCTCAAACTCAGCAGGGTTGCACATGGTGCACAAATTTCAAAAGCTTACTGACTGAGACAGACCAGGAACAAGGAGGAGGCCATCTACTTCTCAAAGAATTGGCCAGGGAAAACCTTATGAATAGCAGAGAAACACTGTCTAATATATTACTGTGCAACTTTATGAATAGCTCGAAAACACTATCTGATACAGCGCAGGAGAATAAGCCACTTAAGTCGTAAGGTCGGAAGGCTCTCAAAATAGGGCTGGAAAAGAGCTGCATGATCAGAGTAGAACAAGGCTTAATGATATGGATAAGGTAAAGCTTTCGAGACCTCCATTTGCTGAAGTGGCACAACTCACATTGAGGAGAAACAGCTGCAAACATTCATTATTAATTGGAATATGCATTGTATGAAGCATAAATCTAGGAAAATTGTCAAAAATGAAATGGAGTGCATAAAGATTGATATCCTAATGAAATGGAGTGCATAAAGATTGATATCCTAGGCATTAGTGAGCTGAAGTGGACTGGTTTCAGCCATTTTGAAAAAGACCACCATGTGGTCTACTATGCTGGGGATGACAATTTGAAGAGGAATGGCATGGCGTTCATCATCACAAAGAATGTTTCAAGACCTGTCCTGAAGTACAATGCTGTCAGTGACAGGATAATATCCATACACCTACAAGGAAGACCAGTTAATATGACTATTATTCAAATTTATGCACCAATTACTAAAGCCAAAGATGAGGAAATTGAAGATTTTTATCAGCTACTGCAGTCTGAAATTGACCGAACATGCAATCAGGATGTGTTAATTATCACTGGTGACTGGAATGCAAAAGTTGGAAACAAAGAAGAATCACTGGTAGTTGGAAAATTTGGCCTTGGTGACAGAAATGAGACTGGAAATCTCATGACAGAATTTTGTAAGACCAATGACTTATTTATTGCAAATACCTTTTTTCAACACAAATGGCGGCTATACATGTGGACTTCAGCAGATGGAATACACAGGAATCAGACTGACTACATCTGTGGTAAGAAGCGATGGAAAAGCTCAGTATCTTCAGCCAAAACCAGGCCAGGAGCTGATAGTGGAACAGATCATCAACTGCTCATATGCAAGTTCAACTTGAAGTTAAAGACAGTTAAAACAAGTCAACAAGAGCCAAAATATGATCTTGAATTTATCTCTCCTGAATGTAAAGACCATCTAAAGAAAATATTTGATACACTGAACACCAATGACCAAAAAACAGAAGAATTGTGGGATGACAGCAAGATGACATGAAGAAAGCAAGAGGTCACTGAAAAGAGGAAAAGACCAAAATGGATGACAGGAGAGACTCTGAAACTTGCCCTTGAGTGGAGAGTAGCTAAAGCAAATGAAAGAAATGACAAGATAAAAGAGCTGAACAGAAGACTTCAAAGAGCAGCTCGAACAGACAAAGCCAATTACTATAATGAAATGTGCAAAGACTTGGGGTTAGAAAACCAAAAAGAACACGCTCAGCATTTCTCAAGCTGAAAGAACTGAGGAAAAAATTTAAGTCTCAAGTTGCAATACTGAAAGAACCCATGGGCAAAATATTGAATGATACAGGAAGCATCAAAAGAAGACGGAAGGAATACACAGAGTCTACTGTACCAAAAAGAACCAGTAGATCTTCATCCATTTCAGGAGGTGGTATATGATCTAGAACCAATGGTACTGAAAGAAGAAGTCGAAGTTGCACTGAAGGGATTGGCGAAGAACAAGGCTCCAGCAATTGACGGAATACCCATTGAGATGTTTCAACAAACAGATGCCCCACTGGAGGCACTTACTAGGTTATGCTAAGAGATTTGGTAGACAGCTGCCTGGCCGACTGACAGGAAGAGATCCATATCTGTACCCATTCCAAAAAAAAGGTGATGCCACAGAATGTGGAAATTATCAAACAATATCATTAATATTGCACGCAAGTAAGATCTTACTGAAGATAATTCAAAAACAGTTGCAGCAGTATACTGACAGAGAACTTCCAGAGGTGCAAGCTGGATTCAGAAGAGGACGTGGAACAAGGGATATCATAGCTGTTGTCAGATGGGTTCTGGATCAAAGCAAAGAATACCAGAAAGATGTTTACTTGCATTTTATTGACTACGCAAAGGCATTTGATTTGTGTAGATTTTAACAAATTGTGGATGACACTGAGAAGAATGGGAATTCCAGAACACATGACTGTGCTCATGAGGCACCTGTACATTGACTAGGAGGCTGTTTTTC